AATTATATTTGTTAAAATATTTATATAAAAACATTTAGATTTTTATTTTCTTCACAAAATATATATATAAATCTCATATAAACGATATATATATCTATGTGTATATGTAATTACAAATGTATGTAATTATAGCATATACATTTTAATTCTAATTTATAAAAAAATCTGTATTTGTTAAAATATTTATATTAAAAAATCATTTAGATTTTTCTTTTCTTCACAAAAATATATATTTTTTGTCTGCAGAGAGAATGATAGAGTGGTGATGGTGAACGGTGTCTCCATGGACAATGTGGAGCATGCCTACGCTGTTCAGCAGCTGAGAAAAAGTGGAAAGAATGCCAAAATTGTAAGTTAACAACACATCATCATCCCTCGTACATTGCATCAGTCCTGTACAACCTTGAGTCTTAACTGGGCTACAGATGTGAGTAGTGGGCTGTGATGGAGAATGGAAGAACTTGAGGAAGGCAGGACGTGGAGGTGATCAGTCATGACTGAGCTTTACATTAAGCAGTGAGGAATGCTGGGAGTCAAACTGCAGTACTGCAGAGTATTTGTCTTTGTGAGCATACAGGAGCTGTTAGTCAGTGTCTAGACACTTTCTGTTTTTTTTTTTTGTCCTCTCTGAAGAGGCATGACCTTTAGAGCTAGATTTTTTAAGTGCAGAGTTTGATCTGTACTTCAGGGTTTCTGTGATACGAATGACATGGATACACACATTCACAGCTGATACTGACATAATTGATGAATCCACACTTTAAATGAAGATACATAAGAAAATAATATGCACACTCAGATATTCCCCAAAAACATATGAATATGTAATATAATTAATTATGTTTTTTATTTTGGACTCTGAGTGCAATTAATGGCCTCATTTGATCACAAAATGCATTGACCAATCAGAATGAAGTATTCTAGAGAGCTGTGTAATAATGGTATATAACGGGCTATTGCCCTTGCTAATGTTAATATACTCTTGTTACCTTTTAGAATGTAAATCTTATTCATCTGGTTGAAATGTTAATATATTGCCTGTTCAGACTATCCGCAGAAAGCGGAAGGTGCCGATTCCTGTAAGTCGAGGGGGAGACAGAGAGACTATGTCAGAGCGAGAGGAAGAGGACGACACTGAGGAGGATGATTATGAGGGACCAGCACGTGCAGGGGGAGCGAGTGGAGGCACTAGCAGAAGAAACGAGCGCAGTGGCAGCACCGGCAGGAGAGACCATAGTAATTCCCGTGAGAGGAGCATTTCCCCACGCTCAGACAGAAGATCAGTTGCATCCAACGTCCCGCAACAACCTTCCAAAGTCACACTTGTCAAGTCCCGCAAGAATGAAGGTGGGTGGAGCTGTTAAAAATTGGAGGACAAACCTCTTAATTACTATTGATGGCTTCAACAGAGGGCTTGGCAAACATATTAGAATGTGTAAACAGGTGTAATGCAGGCTGTTATACATTAGCTAATAGCTGTGATTAGTCTACTGGCAGAAATACCCACAGGGTGCTTTCAACAAGAACAAAGCTGTAGTAAGTTACTCAGTAGCCAGATTTATCAGTCACTCATTAATTCAAGTGGATTATGTCTGTTATTGTTCATTCTTGTGTGTATTTTCTGTTGTGCACAGAATACGGCCTGCGTCTGGCCAGCCACATATTTGTAAAGGACATTTCTCCCGAGAGCCTTGCAGCCCGTGATGGCAGCATACAAGAGGGAGACGTCGTCCTGAAGGTATGAGAAGTGGTGTCTGGGATGGATCAGAGATGGTTTCAGGAAAAAAAAGAGAACTGGATTGAGCGGTACCAGCGGTAGTTGCTGGTACCCTTACTTGGCCTGAAAAGCTTCACCAGTGTTTTGTGGACCCTTAATATTTCTATAAAAATGTTTGGCTGTTTAAGTCACAATGAGAAATTGTGAACATTTGGCTCCCTCTAAACTCATGAAAACCGCTCCAAGTTATCTATCATGCTCTCAGCGTTTGGCTTCCCATATATGGACTGCCCACTGTGAACGTTCAAAATGATTGACAGGCAGAAATCACCTCAAAAGCCTTCTCATGAATGAAGAATCTGACAGTTGCTTGTGGTCACTGTTTGTTCATAAAGACTAGGGCAGATGAGTGTGCTATCTCAGCTTAGGTATTTATATCTTTCAGGGATATTTCCATAAAGGCACTTACATCACCTTTAGGTACAGTAACTTTAAGCAAACTAAAATTTAATTTGTTAAACCTCTTTCACCCTCATTCTTAATGTTTACGTTATTATACTTTAATTTCTACCTATATATGCTCAGACCTGCCAACCTGTACGCATTTTGCGTAGCGGATACGCATTTTGACCTCAAAGTACGCTGGTACGATTTGTCACTCTAAACTACGCAAAAAAACCTGGTGTGACGCCTCTGTCCACGTGCAGTATTCGGCAGACCTGCCAACCTGTATGCATTTTGCGTAGCGGATACGCATTTTGACCTCAAAGTACGCTGGTACGATTTGTCACTCTAAACTGCACAAAAACCTGGTGACGCCTCTGTCCACGTGCAGTATTCAAAACAAGCAACAGAAAAAGATGAAGAGTTCAACCAATCAGAGCGGTTTTTTTAGGTTTTGCTTTTACATTTCTGTGCGTTTTATTTCTCCCCAAGCTGGCTCTGTGTGTCCGTGAGTCTGCGCGCTGAGATGAGGAAACGCCTGCATGTGAAAAAGCAACACACACCGAGCATCTTCCCTTGTAATGACTAAACCTTTTGTCCAACAACAAAAAAGAACATTATAACATTATTTTACTGCACAACATCAGACAAATATTTAAAATAATTTCCCTCTTGATCTGATGTGGCTTCTTATCACAGAATGACGCAGAAATAAATTCTACACTGGAATAACGGCTAAATCGATTAGCAGTGGATTATAAATATAACGTTACTTAATTATTAAAATACTCGAGGTGGTTTTAAGAACACAGATAAACATTGTCCAGGGATTAAAGTTCTTCGTCGCTACGACGGATTTCTGTTAATTGCAGCGAGTCTATGACGGATTTCTGTCAGTTGGAAAAAATGAGGGGAAAAGAAACATTTAGCGCGTTGTTGTTGTTGTTGTTGTTGTTGTTCTGCCGGCCGGCACACCAGAAATCATCCCCACCACGGCTGCAGCTTCTCAGTGACAACATAGTGATGCCGCTCGCATCATTCACAGTCGGGTTATTAGCAGAGAACACAGAGCAGGACTTGAATTTCGGCGCGGCATTGCGTCTATAATAATTCTACTCATTCCCGCAGGTTCCGCACTTATAGCACGATGACAGATGACAGAACGTATCATTTGCACGTGCTTTTGAGTCTTGAGAACTCACTCGCGCGCTCTCATTTTCTGTAGATGAAAATGATGCCATTACAAAGGTAAAAATAAAATACCCCTGTAAGTCACTTTAAGGAGTCAAATGTCACCTCATATTAGGAAGGATAATTTTTTAACTAAATTTTTGATTATTGATCAGAAGGTGCTCCTAAATGTTTTTAAATTAGGAGGACAAGAGCTCCTAAAAAGAAAAGTAAGCATAGAGCCATATGTGTAACAGTATATTAGATCCGTGCATGAGGTCTTAAAGAGACAGCAGCCTAAATAAACCTCCAATGTACAGTGAAGACTAACCAGTGTTATTTTACAGCTGAATAGATTATAGTTAGACCTAACTGAAAAAAATTTAAGTACTGTTAATTTAATTTGTATCTTGTTATTGTTTTTGTTTGTGCTATTGATTGTCATTAATTTATTTGTTCTTATTTTATTATTTACTGTTTACTTGTATATAAATTTTAAAAAGCTTATAAACATACATTTTTGAATTTGACATAGATGAAAATTATGCCATTACAAAGGTAAAAAGAAAATACCCCTGTAAGTCACTTTTTCTAATTACAAGAAAAAACTGCTCTTAAACTGGGTGTGTGACAGGTATGGCTGTGGAATGGGGTTTGGCTGAGGAAAAATCTTCAAAATATTTTTTTTGTTCTTTAACCCCTGCATTGTCACAGTACAGTGTTTATTATCTTAATGTTCTTTTTGAATGTCATCATTCAAAGCGTTTCTGTCTTCTTTCATTCAGTTAGTTGATCACGCTGGCTGTTTTTGCCCATATTAGGAATTTCCTGCAGCGTCCTGAGTTCTATTTCTTCTATAATGTATATGTGGAATTTCTGGGCGTCCAGTGTGAATGAAACACACATTACATGTGTTCATAGCACTAAATAATGGCCAGTCCATAAAAATAATACTACTTTTTTTAAATAGCATTTAAAAATAGCAAAAAAGAACTAAACCAAAAACTGTGGTAAAAAAACAAAAAAAAACTGACGTATTTATTGAACCGTGGGCTAACTGTATTGTTGCATCCGTACTGTTTACTCTGAAATACTGTATAACAGGAATATCACAAACTGAGTGCAGACCCTGATTATTAACCTATAAAAAAAATATTTAACATTAAATCTTGCCACAAGATGTTTTCAAGAAATTATTTTATTTTCACATGGATACATTAAACTGTTCAAAAGAGACATTTCAAATAAGTTCTATTCCTTTTAACTTTCTGTTCATCAGTTCATCACAGAATCCTGAAAAAAATTGATCAGTTTCCACATTGTAGCACCAGCACCACTGTTTTCAACTTTGATAATAATAAGAATCATATGATAAGCACCAAATCAGCATAGTAGATTGATTTCTGATGGATTCTGTGACACTGAATGGCTGGTAAAAATTAATCTTAGCATCACATAAATAACGCTTTAATATTACATTTTAAAGTATATAAAAAAAAATATTTGTTTTAAATAGTAATAGTATTTCCTAATATTAATGTTTTCTGTATTTTTAATCAAAATAAATTCAGCCTTGGTGAGGAGTCACAAGAGACTTCTTTAAAAAATTTTTTTTACAAAAGTCATGCTGACATTAAAAACTTTTGAACAGTAGTGTATATTGTTGGTTTATTTGCATTTTGCTGTCTGCAGGGCTAATCAGAGAGCTAAGAGAGTTTATAATTTGAAAATGCTTAATTTATCAACATACATTATACCTGGCTTATATTATTTGATCAGACCTTTGTCACTTTTAAGCTATATTATGCAAAATGCCAGACTTATGTATCCATAGTTCATCCACAAAATGGCGTTCTTTCTGTTCTCCTTCTCCTCTCCATATAGATCAATGGCACAGTGACTGAGAACCTGTCTTTGATAGACGCAAAGAAGCTTATAGAGCGATCGAAAGGCAAGCTGAAAATGGTGGTGCAGAGAGACGAGAGGGCGACACTCCTAAACATTCCAGATATGGACGATAGCATTCCCTCAGCTAATTCAGACAGAGATGGTGAGATGATCCTAGTTAAAAATGTACATCTAAAAAGAATCTAAGATTAGACTTAAGGTCAGACATTAACTTAAGACTTTATATCTTACATCGTGTTCATTACATGGCTTTCTTGTCCTTTTTATTTTCCTTTTTCTTGTAGAATTTTTGTCTTTTTCTAAAAGTCAACTTGGATTAAATTCAAACTTGGAAATCATGATTTGTTTCAACAGACATTTCAGAAATTCATTCACTGGCATCAGATCATTCCCATGAGCACACCCGTCGCAGTCGATCCCGTTCCCCTGACAAACGCTCAGAGCCCTCCGACATCTCCGGCCACTCTCCACAGCAGATGAGCAACGGCAGGTAAGAGACACCAGAAATGCTTACATTAACCAACTTAACTTTTCCATTAGTGCCCCTTAATTCACTGCCATGGTTAACGTCATGCTTTGGATTGTCTCACTAATTTAGAGAGATGAATATATACTATATGATATGCATGCAAGTCACATCTCAGCTACTAGCAGGTTCAGATGTCAGCTAGAGCAGTAAAGCTGCATCGATCTGCCTAATGACAGAAGAGTGCTCTGATTGATTACTGGTCCTAAGAGATATTTTAAGGTTTCCATCCCCCTTACTCCGGAGCCTGCTTTAAATGTTATTATTAATCGTATGAATCAGAATAATCAGTGAAGCAGATAGGACTGATTTGCACACTTACAGCTTTAAGAAATATTACACTTACTGTCACTGATTTGTATTTGTGTGAAATATTTTTTTTTTATTTTTTCGTTTTGTTTTGCTTGCAGTCACAGGAGAGTGTAAGTGTTGGTCATAGTGCAGTGAGCTGGCTGACCGTAACTCAGTTTGACACTACAGTAGAGCTGAGCTCATGTAGCTGTCTTAACTAACGTAGTAGATGTGCTCTAGCACTGTAGACATGAGAAGTGTTGACAGCAAGCAGTCTGATGATTTCTTTCAGTGTTCTTTGTGTGTATGTTTGTATAAGAGACAATGAAGTACAAGAATCAGTGTTTGGATATCTGTTGTATGATGCTACAGACTAGTAAAAACCTCAAAGGTTTGGACATATCAGCTTGTCTCATATACCATATGACATTTAGTTTATGTGTGTGTGTGCGTGTGTGATCGGAGTAATTTTAGCATGTCAAATTAGTTCAGTTAAAAAAAATCAAGAGGCAACTTGTTGCCAAAGAACTTGACTATGACTATTTTAATTTGTCACCTGAGAACATGACATGACAAGTTTATTTACTGAAAGTGAGGTAAACTCACTTGGTGCATCACAAATATAATATATATGCATATATAAACACTAGTCCTTTACCAAAAATTACTGTGGTAACCACAGTTTTTTACCAAAATATGTACTAGTTATTATTCCAAAAAACAAAAACAAACATAGAGCTATCAATTTATTGTATTTATTGTGTACAAAATTTTTTGTAACATTTTTTGTTTCTGTTTTATGATTTGAGTCTCAGTAATATCTTTATCTTCATTTTGATGTGTGATTAATTGTTCAATTAAAAGTTGATTGAAGGGGTCATATGATGTTGCTAAAAAGAACATTATTTGGTGTATTTGGTGTAATGAAATGTGTTTATGCAGTTTAAGGTTCAAAAAACA